AGGTTAGCTCAGAATTGATAAATTTCTAAACAAATTAATAACTTAATTGATTAGTTTTTGAATAATTAACAACTAACATGTAACCGTACACAACATTTATGATAAATTTAGAGGTGATATTTAAAAAATTTTAACATTTTTTATTTTATTTTTTCATAATCCTAGATTGGATGAAACAACATGAATATAGTTGTCCATTATTTTTACAATTAGAAGCATATATTGTTTTAGCATAGACAATTTTGAGAATAATGCATGGGGATGGTTAATTCTAAGAATGAAAATTGTATTTTACATTTTAAAATTTTTATACAAAATTATTTACCAAAATAATGTGTCAAATGACATTTTTGTATATTAAAAAAAAATTAATTAATTGTTTATTTTAAACTAATAGACTCCTTTTGAATTAGGTTCATTAGGCCACCCCTTTTGTATCTCCTAGGTTGTTAGCAGATATATATTTTTCCCCCTTATTTTTGTTGCAAATTCTCTTCAAATTTATAAATAAAAAAATTATTAAAAAAAAAACCAGAGTTTAATCCTTGAAAAAAATTCTGAGTTTTTAATTTTTATCAATTTAAATCTTCATCTTTTTTTATTCATTTTCAATCTAATAAATCATCAGCCTATTTTTAAAATGTTATTTTAGTTAAACTACTCTATATGAGAGTTCAACTCAAGACTTTACCGGGTATGGATTGCTGTTGTGCAAAGGCACAGTAATAATTGTTGTATCTCAATTTAAGACTTATGGGCTTTTTTTAATGATTCAAACCGTTTTTTTTATAGGGTTCGTTGAGTATTTCATGCATATCAAAAATTATATTGTTCGGATATTGATAGCTATGCGATCGGATTGCATATTTTTTATGCTACTTCTCAAAAGAAAAACTTATTGTTTATTTTTTTTATGATAAATGTAATTCGATCATACGGTTACCGATATTCGATTAATATAATTTTTGACATACTTAAAGTACTCGACGAGCTCTACAAAATGAACGGTTCAAATTATAAAAATAAGTTCATAATAAGTTTCAAATTAAAGCACAACAATTAGGCAACTCCTCATCCAAACTTTACACCACTTCTGGTGATTAAATATTTATTGATGAAAATAATAAAATTTAATATTTTTTATTAAATAAATTAACAAATATTAAGTGATAAATGTAAGTAGTTGTTTGAGATGTATTTTATAAGTGTACTTTTTTTTTTTTGATTAAAAAAATAGAGAAAAAAATATGTATGTTTGGAATAAGTTTTTAACTTTTTACTAATAAAATCAAAATCACCATTTCCATTTTAACCTTTTAGGGTTGGTTTGGGATGTTTTAAAAAAATGCATTTTTTTTACTTATTGGCTTATATGGGTTAGGTTTAGGTTGGGTTTGATGTGATGCGTTAGAGAAGTGATGTGATTTAAATAAAATGATGTGACTTAAATAGGATAGTGACTTTTTGACTTTTTGTATTATTTAGGGTTGGTTTGGGATGTCCTAAAAAAGTGCACTTTTTGACTTATTAGTGGGTTTGGGTTGGGTTTGATGTGATGTGTTAGAGAGGTGATGTGATTTAAATAAGATGATGTGACTTAAATAAGATAGTGACTTTTTGACTTTTTGGCTTATTTAGTACATGCCAAACTAGCCCTTAGTTTATGCCAAACCAACCCTTAATTTTTTGATTTTTAACTTTTTGACTTTTAGATAATTGAATTCAAAAGGTAGAATAATAATTTTGTCCTAATGACTTCTCTCACAAGCTATTCATATATAGTATAAAATTTTTAATTTTTTTTTAGTTTATGCCCAAACAAGGCGTAACTATGAAGTAAACCCGGAGGAATTTTTAAAAAAAAATGCCTATCACATTTAGGCCTCCAAGATGTGCGCCGTTTGTTTGACCTCGTGAAATGTGGAAGTCAAAACGCTGAATGAATCTGATTCAACAATTTCAAATTTTAAGCATTATTATATAGACCATTGTTGGATTGGAGGTATTGGAGGTTGAGTACTCCACCTTTTTGAGATTGGAGTTTTATTTCCCTCTCTTTATTTTGTTTAGCTTTTACAACTCTCAAAATATAAATTGAGTACCGTGAGAAATTTTAAAAAATTTATCAAAATTTTTACTAAATATTTTGTATGGGTGTAGGACTCATTATGTGGTCTCATGTAAATTCTACACTCATATAAGATATTTGATAAAAATTTTAATAAATTTTTTAAAATCTCTAACATTTTTCAAGATTGGCCCTGAGCTAAGGCCAGTGAAATCTGTACTTAGAATTCCAAATTTTGGCCCAAAATATGGCTCCAAATTTTAAAAATCCTTTATACCATTAAGTTTTAAAAAATGCTCAATTATTGTTAAAGTCTCTCCAAACCAAAAAAGGCCCACTAAATAAAGCCCAAATACAAACATGTTATAGGTCAACATTAAAAACAAATAAAAAAAAGTTAGCCCAATTAAAAAATAAAAAATTTATTTTCCAAATCAAGTAGGCGATCTGCGGCCTGCTTCACTTTTTTTTTTTTTTCTTATTATAATATTTCTCTACCACTATTAAAGGCCTACTAAAAAAAAGTCCAAAGACAAACATGTTATAGGCCAACATTAAAAGTAAATAAAAAAAAAGTTAACCCACTTGGGGAATACAAGAAGAATAATATTTAAGTGATACTTTATCGTAATTAGTTCAATTTTTATTTAGTTTTGTAGCTTTACATTTTTTTCTTTATTGTAAATTAGATTTTTCCATTTTGAATTCTTGTAATAATTTCTTCTTATCTTAATCCATATAAATAAATTTTTGTATTGATACTCACAATTAATAACTTGTGCATTTTCTATTTATTATATTACTCAAAATTTTTGTTTAATAAATATGTATAAGAGCCCCTCTTGAAACTTCGCTTCGAGCCCTATAGAATTCAGGGCCGCCCTGACATTTTTTATATAAAATTAGTCAAAAACTGATGGTGCAAAATGTTGGAGTTCCATTCTGTAAATAGATTAGGTAAAATACTTAAAATATTGTAAATGTCTTTTCTATTAGAGATGTTTTGTTACTCTCAAAACCAACAACAAGCTTTTTGTTTCTGTTTGAAGAGAACAGATAAATGTGATTGTTAAAAAACTCTATTATTGAAGGCACGAATTCATAGTGCTTCAGATTTTGAAACCAGGCTAGATTTTTTTAATGCTGCATTTGGTTAGTAGATTTGAAGAGAGTTTAGAAAGGAAAATAGAAATGGTAGGTGAAATGTGAATAAAACATACCTATATTTCACCTAGTTTCACACACCTTTTCCCTTTCTCTTTCCAAATTCCTCTCCAAATCCTCCAACCAAACACAGCGTAAGTATTTTTTTTTTAAGATTTTAAATTTACTTATATGAATGTGTCAAGAGGTTAGCTCTGAATTGATAAATTTCTAAACAAATTAATAACTTAATTGATTAGTTTTTGAATAATTAACAATTAACATGTAACCGTACACAACATTTATGATAAATTTAGAGGTGATATTTAAAAAAATTTAACATTTTTTATTTTATTTTTTCATAATCCTAGATTGGATGAAACAGCATGAATATAGTTGTCCATTATTTTTACAATTAGAAGCATATATTGTTTTAGCATAGACAATTTTGAGAATAATGCATGGGGATGGTTAATTCTAAGAATGAAAATTGTATTTTATATTTTAAAATTTTTATACAAAATTATTTACCAAGATAATGTGTCAAATGACATTTTTGTATATTAAAAAAAATTAATTAATTGTTTATTTTAAACTAATAGACTCCTTTTCAATTAGGTTCATTAGGCCACCCCTTTTGTATCTCCTAGATTGTTAGCAGATATATATTTTTCCCCCTTATTTTTGTTGTAAATTCTCTTCAAATTTATAAATAAAAAAACTATTAAAAAAAAAACCAGAGTATAATCCTTGAAAAAAAATTTGAGTTTTTAATTTTTATCAATTTAAATCTTCATCTTTTTTTATTCATTTTCAATCTAATAAATCATCAGCCTATTTTTAAAATGTTATTTTAGTAATTAAACTCAATATAAGTGTACTAAAAATGTCTAAAATATTCTTTTTAGGTGTACTAAAAATGTTTAAAATACTATTTTCTGTTAACTTTAATTAAAATTCAATTTTTTGTCAATTTTACTTGATGAAAATAGTTGAACAATTTACATTGACAACAAATAACAAGCTTAGAATTTAAATTAACAAAATTAAAATTTAGGATTGATTTTGTTAAAGGAGTCAAACCCTTAATTTTTTTTGAAAAAATATCAAAAAAGTGATGTCAACAAAAAAATTACAAACTCATAAAATAAAGTGATTCATGCACTCGATTATGTAAATGAGTGTTGAATTTTTCATGAATTTTTAATTATTTTTTTACTTTTCATTTTTATGATATTTTACATTTTTTTATTTATAATTTCCCCAAAAAATAAATAAATAAACCAGTCTGAACTAGGCTGTAAGAAACGGGAATGTTGGTGGTCCAATAATCCTTGGTTTTTGCCTTTAGGGCATTCTATTGCACATACGGGATTGTTTGGGATGACTTAAATAAGTGTATTTTTTATCTTTTTACGAAAAAATGTATAAAAAAATAGAGAGGTAATGTGATGAAAAAAAATAGAAAGATAAATTATTTTAAAGTTGCTAAACTTGGCCTTAAAATAGTGATACATTCATTGTACTATATAAGAAATAATTGATTGATGAATATAGAAAATATAAGATAAAATTGCATTAACTATTTGGACATAAAAAGTAAATTTAACTTTTAAATTACAGTAGTACTACTCTTGATGTAACAACTCTGTTACCAGTGACTTTACTAGGAAGGACCTGTGGGTCAACATAGCCAAATTACCAGACCAGTTGTTGATTAATATATAATAGCATTTTTTTTCTTTTTTGTTTTTTTGTTTTTTTTCATTACTAGTAAAACTTATTCTCATACAAATCACAGAACACTTTCTCAGCAGAATCTGATTACAAAATATATGACCTTCCAAGCCCAAAAAAAACAAACAAAAAAAAAAATAAAAACATACTCCAAACAGAGCAAAAGAAACACTCAGTACTGGCGGGTGATTAAAATCCACCTCTGCCCTTCTCCTCCTGCCTTAACAAGAAGAGGTCCCATTAATAGGGTACCCTACAATCAAATTAAAAATGATGAAAGGGCCATTTAAAATAAGTCCCTTCTCATTTTTTGACACCCTAGAGGCCAAGACTGACCACAATATATATATAAACTAAAATACTAGTAATAGTCACATTACTAATATTAAGTGACTATATAGTATCTATATACCTAGCAAAATATGGGTACAACTATTAAAGACAAGACAACTAAGTTTAACTCAAAGGGAATAGGTCTCTATCAACTATCGGTACTGTCCTCCACTGAAGGTCTGCCCGAAGGACCAGCTAGCTGGGGCAACATTGTTGGACACCACGCTGCGACCATCGCTTGTGGTGACCTTAAATGAGAGGCTTTGTCCGTTGAGGTAGGCGTTGCTCTGCCAGTTTTGCCCCCAGTTCCTTGACATTGATTGCCAACCAGTCCTGGACCCTTTGATGGCCACTGCATGGACATCACCGGCACCACCAACGTTGGTTATAAGGACTAAGTTGAAGTAAGAGTGGCCATTGATTGTGAACCTTATGCCTCCCCTTCTCGTGCAGGGTACCCTACAAAGACAAACCAAAAAAAGAAAGTAGTTAAGAGTTAGTCACCCATTCCTTCAACAAATCAGTAAGAAAAACCTCAAGAGTAGCCATCGGATTGCGATAATCAATCCCAAAAAAGCTGATGTCCAGTAGTCTTATCTCTCTGTAGGGAGACAAAATCTCGTCCCCCACCCAAATAAAGTTACACTTTTCACCTTTGATATATTACTCAATTTTCACTTTGACTTTTAAATTATAGATTTTCTCAATTTGATCCCTCAAATATTGGATTGGATTTTTAACAAAGTGGTCAAGTTAATTATTATCATCCAAGTTTTTTGACAAAAAATGACTAGTGCACTTAAACTTTTGCACTTTTGTCCCTTAAGTATTTTCTTCCACTTTCAACCCTCGATGTTACTGTGTATTTTTTTTTTACTTTGGCCTTTCAGAGTTCAGTGCCACATGCTGTTTTGGGTTGGAGTATTTGACAAAAAGTTCCAAGGGGACAACATGCACAACAACTTTCAAGACTAAATTGTAGAAATCTAAAAATTAAGGGCCAAAGAATTGAATAATACTGCATAGTATAATTTATGGTTTGTTGGGTTGAGGGGATTGAAGGGGAGACAGACATTAAACAAGGGTTTTTTTTGGACATAAAATTAAGGAGGTTTACACTTCAAAACTCAAACAAAAGCAGATCAAGGCGCAGGGCCCAAGAGAAGTCAAAAGGGAAAGTCTGAAGTTTCTGAATGAAAAAAAGAAAAGAAAAGAAACATGGTCCAGTTACAAGACATAATAATTAGCCAAATAATAGTTGACAAAGACCGAACAAATTAAAACAAGATTTTGATATCAAAACACCATAATAAACTCAGCCATTTTTCTAGTTGAAATTGAACTTTCAAAGGCCATAAAAACCAGTCAAAAGCATACCTTCTGTAAGAGACAGGGACAATACCAGCTTTGTATTGGGCAATGTGTTGGAAGACAGGCTGGGAGAGGTCAAAGTGTTGCTGTGGAGGGTTACACCATCCCCCTGCATTGTTTGGCAAGGCATTGTTTGGGGGACAGAAATTAGTGGCTGTGACCACAATGGAGCCAGGCAAGCACCATTTGGGGTCATTCGCACACCTAATCTCATAGCACGACCCACAACTTAACCCACTGTTGAACAGAGCTGTACTCAGTGCCGCAGTGTTTGTACCATACCCTTGGCTGTACAAATTTCCATACCCACAAGCCCCTCCTGCACAAATTTATGTAAATTATTATCAGCTAAAAGCAAATGAGTATAGCTCCAAAAAGCAAAAACTCTAAGGCTGTGTTTGGATCTTGAATTTGAAGGAGATCCAAACATGGCTTAACAAGGAAAGGTGCATACCCATTGTGCCAGAGGCATCACCACCCCCATAGAAGGTGGCATGAGCATCGATCCACCCTCCTCCACCATACCCATGAACAAATGAGACCATTGACAGAAAACCCACCAAGAACAACACAATGAGAGCCATTTTCCTGCAAAAAGAATCAAGAGAACCATATTTAGCATTATATTGAAATGTCAAGTGGAAGGCTAGAAGCACATTTAAAAGACTAGACAGTCTGGGTTTTTTCAACCATTTCGGTTCATTTTGACATGTAAATGAAGGTGAGGAAGAGGAGGGAGACGGAAGGAGAGAAGATGATTACAGTGAGTTTGTGAGACTTCAAAGGAAGAGGTAGAGAGAAAAACTCAGGAAGAGGAATAAGAGGAAGTTTGAGTGTAGAAAATGGGGGAGGGAACGGGGGAGAATAAATAGAAGTTTAGAGTGGGGGCCTGAGATGGGCGCTTCGGCTACAGTAGCAACTAACTGACACTGATGGCTGCTGTTGTTGGGACCAAGCAACCGCTTGGGCACTAAAGTTGTTAGTTGAGTGTGAAGAAAATATACTGAATGATTTTTAGGATTTATTTTTATTTTTTAATTTTTTTTATTGAATTCTTTTAATATTTTAAGTAATTTTTTTAATTTTTAAATATACTTCACATAAATACACTTAAAAAATATAATATTTATGAAAAATATCTTTAAAAAATTCATTAAATACCAAAAATATATTTTAAAAATACAAAAATTCAGTATATTTTTCATATTCTTATATATTTATTAATATTTTAAAATATTTTTTACAAATATTTTACTTTTTAAATACATCTAAGTAAGTTGCATCTGAAAAAATTACTTAACATTTAAAACATATTCGCTAAAACTAAAAATAAAATAACAAAAACAAAAACAAAAACAAAAAAACTCAATTTTTAAAAATTGAATTCAGAAAATTGAAACTAAACACACTGACTAATACTAGTTGTTTTCGGAATCAGTAATAATACAGTTTTAGACTTAACTACTCATAAATTATTTAAAATTATCATTTTTTTATTCAAATTCATTTTACACATAAATTATGCATTATACAAATTTAATCCCCACTACACAGCCACTCATCTAGAATATTTTGAGTGAATATGTCTGGATCTCCATACTTTTCCTTTTGGAATTAAATTTTTTAGTGATCTTTTAAATTTTTAAAAAAAGATGTGGAAAAAAAAATTGAGAGAATAGTTGATTTTTTTTTTTTTAGTAAAGTTTTGCTTTTTGGTTAAAACTAATTATTTTAATTTATAAAAATATATACAGCAAAGTACAGTGAATAATTGATTTTTTAACTTTTTAACTATTATAAGTTGTTGTCAAAATAATATCATGTCATATTATTTACAGTATTTTTTAACTAATAATATAGTGAAAAGTTTAACTAAGAAGATAATGTTGATCCAATTTTATTGGATAGTTGAACGGCAATATATGCCTAGATATTACAAACCCACATTGGTCTCGACAATACATAAATAAAAAATAGTTCTTCTATTTATATAAAAAAATAATCATATAATATAACCATTTTATATGAAATGGGTGTCACATTTTTGTCGAACTTACTTTATATGACATAATTGTATATTCTATGTTAAACATTTCTTTGGTTTTGAAATTTTCAAAAACAACTTTTAAATTTTTAATCCATATTTTTTTATATTTTAATGATTTTTTTTAACTTTTTAGATTTATTTAATCTTGGTACACATAAAAATTATAAAATTTATGAAAAAAAATATTTTAAAAATTCATTAGATATAATAAAAAAAATCAATCTATTTTCGTATTTTTTATATTTATTAAATTTTTTTCACATATATTTTAAAAATTCAAAAACAATGCAATTTTGGGGATATGAAGAGTGGTTTTGAAGGAAGAAACCGTGTGGTTTTGTAGGTTAGCGAGTGGGAAATCTACGAAAATCAAAGTGGGGTCTCGTGGGTATTTCGTCTGCGAGTTGGAAAACTTCCACACCCACAACATCCCCCTGCACATGCACATGCACATGCACATGCAACCAGCGACCTCCAAATGAGTCCGGATCCTCTACCGTGTTTTCCTACGGCGCTTTCCTGCCATACTCCAAAACGACGTCGTTTGGAGAATTTTTTTTTTTCCTTGTTTTCTTCTCTTATTGGGAAAGGCTGAACTCATTTTGACGAAGTGTAAAAGCCTGAGCTCCTTTCCTTTTAGTTTTCTCACAGAACAAAACAAACCCACCCTTCAAACCCAATCATCTATATATATACACACATGTATGTATACATATGTATATATATATATATATAGGATCATTTTTGTTTTTTTTGTTTTCCCCTAACCTCTCAAAGGTTTGTGAGCTCTCATCTGAACCAAGAATGAAGCCCAAATACGAAACAAACTAAGAAGAAGAAGTGAAAGTGAATCACCAATCATCTTTACAACTAGTTTGAAGAAACTAGTCAATGCTCAAAAAAATTCACATTTTGTGGCTAATTCTTACCATTAAAGCCATCAATTCAGATTGCAACTTGTTTTGAGGGAAGAAGAATGCAATTTGTTTCAGCGAAACACACAAGCACAAAAAAATAAAAAAACAAAACAAAATGAAACAATTATTTTCAATAAAAAATACAAACCCAGATTTCAAACCAAACAACAACAGAGGGTTTGTCCCAGATTGGGTTTGTTTTCTTTGGGTTTGTTTTCTTTTTTTGGAGTATTTCTGATGAATATCAATCGAAATTATAAAAAAAAAACAAAAAAACAAAAAAAAAAAAACAAGAGAGTAAACCAAAAACCTAGAAACCCATTTTCGATCTTCGCATTCATCGGAATATTTCTGGCGAGCAATGGAAGAGTGGGGGAGAGTAGGGCCGAGTGTGAGCTCTTTCACCTCTTCAAATGGCTCGAACAATACACCGATTAGAGGCCAACTGTCCGAGCCCTTGGAAGCACAAACCAAAAACCCATTTCTGATCTTTGCTTTTGAAGAAAACCCAAAACAGAATATGCAAAATTCAGTGAAGAAGATGAAGCAGAGGACCCAAATGGATGTACTCGCCGCCTCACGTTGCAGTCTATGCTTGCACCTGCTACTCTGTTTCACCTCTTTGCCTCTGTCAACAGGTAGGTTCAAGCAAATGAGGTAGAAAGAAAAGAGGGAAAAGAGAAAGGGGAGAAAAAAAAAATATAACCAAAACGACGTCGTTTTGGAGCATAGCAGGGGACACCGCAGGAAACCACGGCTGAGGATCCGGACTCACCTGCAAATACCCTCCTCTCTCTTTCGTTTGTTCTTTCTTTCTTTCTTCCTTTCCTTTCCTTTTGCTGTGTTTTATGCTTCAATAATCAAAAATAGGGCACAGTAAGAAATTCATAAAATTCATAATTCAATTTAGTTCAGTCTAATTCAATAAGTTTAGATTGGTTTTTTGAATTCATGGTTCGATTTCGGATTGAAAAATTAAAAATTCGTAATCCATAAATCGGTTCCGAATTGAACCCCACAGTTTTAGATTGGAATCAATCCGGACTGTATACAAATAGCTTATATTTATATTATAAACCCTCCCAGCATAGTGTCTTCTTTTATTCCATATAAAATTTAAACCCAAATCTAAAGCCGTATAATATCTTCTTTTATTGTTTTTATTTGTTAGTTTTTAGTTTTAATATGTAATGGTCTAAATATTGATGGTGAAACCAGTTTTCTTATGGTTGTTTAAATTCTAGAACAGTATGTCGCTATTATAGAAAGGCATGTTGCTATTGTAGAACTAATATAATGCTATGTTTATGTTTTTATGAAATTAAAATGTTCTATATATATATATATATATTTTTTGGTTATTTATTTATGTGAATCTGTAGTCCTAAACCGATCTAATCTGTGTTTAAATGGATTGGTTCGGATTGGTTCCACAACTAATATAATGCTATGTTTATGTTTTTATGAAATTAAAATGTTCTATATATATATATATATATTTTTTTTTTGGTTATTTATTCATGTGAATCTGTAGTCCTAAACCGATCTAATCTGTGTTTAAATGGATTGGTTCGGATTGGTTCCACAATTTAAACGGACTGGATTAGTTTCAATTTTTTAGGAACCGTAGATAACGGATTGGTCATAATTTTATCCCAATCCGGACCATACTTACCCCTAATAAAAAATGCTTAAAATTCTAATAAAATTTGAGACAATTACACACCAATCTTAATTTATAAATTTATACGTTTGGCAACCTTCAGTTTTAGTCAAAAAGTGACTATAAGTTATCACATCACTCTATCTAATTTTTTATACATCATTTTGTAAAAAGTCAAAAAGTTACTAAAATAACATGTTCCCAAATGAGGCCTTAGTTCTAACTAAAAAAATTTTAGACCTTCAAGCCCTATTAATTTTTAATAATCTGAATTACCCTTCAAATAATTATTATTTATTATTTCTGATTATCTACAAAAGAACATGATAATTTAACATTTATTTTGATTTTTGAATATTTAAAACATCAACTTTCAAATTGAAAAAAACTATAAAAAAAAACAAATTATGTGCAAAAAAAAAAAAAAAAAAAAAAACTTAAGATTAGCGTTGATGCTTTTTGCACTTTCCCTCTTTGTTGATGTAAGTTTTAGCATGTTTTGCTTTCTTCATTAATAAAGTTTCATTTTGCTAAAAAAAAAAAAAAAAAAAAAACACTTTGATTTGGATTCTTAGGATTTACTTTTCAGAAAATCAAAATTTCTTATTTTTCATATTTTTTATTTTTACTGAATTTTTTTTATATTCTAAATAACTTTTTTAATTTTAGATACACATAACATAAATATACTTAAAAATATAATATTTGTGAAAAAAATATTTAAAAAATTCACTAAATATTAAAAATACAAAAAAAATACAAGAATTTAGTATATTTTTCATATTCTTGTATATCTATTGATTTTTTAAAATATTTTTTAGAAATATTTTACTTTTTAGATATACCTAAGTAATGTACATCTAAAAAAAGTAAAAGATTACTTAAAATTTTAAAAATATTCATTAAAAACAAAACAATATGAAAAGCAAAAAACTTAATTTTTAGAAATTAAATCCAAAAAATTGAAACCAAACATACTGAAATTTTTTTAGAACAAAAATTGAAAGAACTGAATTATTTTTTATGCAAAACTAAAAATTTTGTGTCTATAAAGGAGTAGCATGATGGAACATTGATGTGCAAAACTGAAGAAGGAAAAAAAAAAACTTTAAAATTGAAAAAACTGATAATGTTTTCAGTTTTAAAACTAGAAAAAACTAATAATGTTCTCGGTTTTATTAGATAGTTGAATCAAACTAATAAGTAGAAGGGCAAAAACATTTAATCAAATACTCTGTTTTGTTTCATCAGTTAGTGAAACAATTATCTGAAACATTACTATGAAAAATTGA